ATTTAACTATATACAGTATGCTCATTAGTTTATTCACTTAGTTCTACTAATAGTGCCTGAAGGTTACCTTATGTCAAAAAGAGGGCAGAAAGAATGAACATAGAAGTTAACCACATTTTTAAGAATCTAATAAAAAATAGAACAGAGTGAGAGCAAAATTCAGCCTCTGGGAGTCTGACTCACATGTGAAGTGCGAAATGCTGGAGTGGAGAATCTGAGAGGAGAATTTTGTCCTGAAATTGTAAACATGTGCACTAACTTTATATGTACATGCAGCAAAGCTCTGGAGGCCTCTGGACTCCCCAAACATACCCTCCGGTGTCCTGAAGCCAAGCTATATGCTCTCATCTGCAGTGACATTTTGGAGATTTAAGGTCTTGCGACATAGATTTTTTTTTTGGTAATAAATAAAAATAAAAAGTACGAAATAACTGCTAAATTAAAAAAAAAAGTTACTGTATTTCTGCAACCCAAAAGCGTAAGTGCAACCACTGCTGCATTTTCCATCTTGTTCTTAGTCCCCATTTACAATACAAAATAAACCTTGTTTACATACCGTTATGGCCAAACTGTGTTCTAACACTGTCTTTTCTATCCATACAAACAAGAATAAATGGCGAATAAACTATTTATTTAGGTATTTACCAGTGTTAGAAGAGGGTTCTCTCGTATGATTATAACATGCACACTACAACTGGGTGAATAATGGATTTTTCGGTTCACTGGCCATTCTGAGACAATTAAAAAAAAATTCATTTTGGGTTGAATTGAAAACAAGTATTTAAAAAAAAAATTGGTGACTCAAAAAGTTGAAAAGTCAAGTTGAAGCAAAAGGTTTCATTCCACCATGACCTTTTTCAATTTGGGGCATTTGTCAAAAGCAAAGAAGAAATCATGAAATGCAGGGTGGGGGTTGGGGGGAGGATGACCACCTCACTTCTAACCTGTAGCCCAGTGGTGGGAGACCTGAGCTCAGTTCCCCTCGGTCAGATGTGGAAAAGGGATTTGAATAGGTGTCCCTGCACTGCAGCAAAGTGCCCTACCCATCAGGATATAGAGTCATTCTCACTTACTTTCAATATCTCCATGAATGACTATGAACTGCCACTTTGAATGACAATGAAGAGTCACTGGGCTAGGAAGAAAGTGAAAATGACTTGATAGCCTGGTGGTTAGGGCACTCACCTAGCATGTGGGAGACCCAAGTTGAAGTCCCAGCTCTAATGACTATTTAATTATTTACATACAGTAGAACAGCTTTCACAGGGGAGAGGGAGAAAGCCCCACACCAGAATATCCCATAGCCCAATGGGTAGGGCCGGTCTCCTGCAATGTGTGACACCCACATTCAATTCTTTCTTCCTCATAAGGAAGAAGAGTAGGTCTGTCAGGGTCAGATCTGAAAAAACCTGATCCTCTGGGTTGAGCGTGCTGACAAGTTGCAATACCTCCCACTTCGCAGCACATTCAGCTCAGCGAGGTGGGGGCAGCTGGCAGGAGGACATGCAGGCATCACCATTGGCAGGAGGTGACCAGAGAGGAGGAGTTGGGAGTGGCCAACTCCTATCAGGCTGAGCCCTAAGGACAAGGTGGTGGCGGTGATGATGCAGATGGGGACTGGTTCAGGAGGTCCGTTCCGAAAAAGACTTGACACTCTCGGGTCAGCTGTGCTCAGCTTGGGTCCTGGTCCAGTCAGGTCTGATCAGTAGACTAAAGCTGCATTTTTCAGCAAATAAACTATTTGCTGAAATAATTTCACCCAGTTCGACGCACACAAGCAAGGTGGGGGTGGGGGGCGGGGGAACCTGTCTTCTACCATGGTTTGACCACAGCTGCTGCTCAACATGATTACTTTTGTAGTGCAGAGAGGGACTAAGGTAGATCAGCAAGGCAACTAGAGCACCAAAAAGTCACATCAAAATTTTGTTACCACCACAAAGAAACAGGGCCTTATTTGGCTCTTATTGACACCTGGC